AAACTCCATCTTCCTCTTGACTCTTGTTTGATCTTCTTGGCACTTTAAAATTGTCCAGATTTGTTATACAAGTTTCTTATAAAAAAAGAAAAAAAAAATTGTCAAGACTTGTTATGGTTTCGATGGAGCTTCTTCTTTCTAGAGTGCCTCTCCTCTTGATCTTTCTCTTTGTTGATTTGGGTTGACTCTTGGATTTCTTGGCCAAATATGATCGGCTGATTGCGCCACTGCCAAGGGCTAAAAACCAAAGAAAGACTTTAGATTTTTTGAGGCTCTCATATTTGACATCCTTTTATATAAGGAACGAGGGAGATACTTTTCCTTGGAAGAATAGGTGGCCTGCAGGGATTGGGATTGGACAGAAAAACACCCATCTTCCTCAAGGCTTCAAATCAATTCATCCAGCATGGACTCAATATCTTGCTGTTTTGGAATTAGGTTTCTGTTGTTTCTTCTAAATGATAAAATTGTAGGTAACTGGGGCAGGACAATGATAGAAAATTTTACAGGTATAAGGGTTAAGTTTAAAGTTTTGAAAATTTTAATAGTAGAACTTGTTGGAGAGACATTTCCTAGCTCTGTCCGCATTAGCGTTTCACAGTTTTGGCTGTGGTTGGTATCTAAACCCTTATTCTAGACTATTGTTTGCAAGGAAAACAGGAGGGACTAAGGAGCACATATCCTTTCATTTGGGTAACATGTCCATGTCCAACATGTGTTGGATACTCCAACACTCTAACAACTATCAAACAAGTGTCAGACCTTTATTAACACAATAAATGTGTGTTAGAAACTATTTGTATAAATGACTTGTTAAGTACATATCGAGCACTTATTAAGTATAATAAATAAATATAAATAGTAATATAGAACAAAATCTTAGAAACTCTCATGTATTAGTCCAATACCATATCCTAGGTTTCAAATAAGTGTATATTTAATAAATCCTTACCATATCTATTTCCTAGATTTTTGTAAAGTGTTGTTCCATTGCTTCTGTGTTATATAGTATCCGTGTCTCGCGTTTGTATCCGTACATTTTAATCTAGGAAAATCAGAAAAACTATTGGGCCTAAACCATCTTCTGAATCCACCTGATTTTACTTATTCTGCATGCCTCAGGACGAAAATTTCTGGGAAAAAATTATTAGAATTTTCTTGTTGGAACAAAGTTACAGCAGCTGATAAGCTCTAAATGTGTAACACTTGTGAGAGAAGATGAGAGATTGGATTTGACTAGGTCCTCTGAATCATTGTTCTCACTGCTTACACTATTCACAATCACACCGCAAAGCATTGTTAGTGTGTAGAAACTGCTGAAATTCGAGTGCTGCTGTGTGTGTGCTTTGATTTGGTAGCCACTAACAGACGTTGAACACCACAAGAAGCTCCCTTTTCACCATCCCTATCCATATTAGCTAGTTCTTCATGTTCCTCCTTGCCGGGTGTAGGACTCTTTCTTCGTCATATTAATCCAGTTATAAGTTTGCCTTTGTTTGCTAAGGATATTTATTTGACAAACCTCCCTGATGCTTGATGAGAACATTTTCCAATATTTTGTCATGTGTAATAATCGGAGGTCTTCTTGCTAGATTGAGGATCATTTCCAAGGGAATAGTTGGATCATCCTTTTTCCTGGTTGTAGCATTGGCATGTGTTGGTTGAATTGCCTGGGTATCAACAGCGATCTTTTACCTCGTAAAACAGTTCTTTTGTGTGGTCTTGGATAGCCATAGCTCCACCATTCATGCTGTAGTAATCAGTGTTTTCGAGGCGCAAGGCGGCGACGAGTCCTTTGAACGCCTTGAGGCGAGAGGCGATACAAAGTGACGCCCGATTGAAGCGAGACGCACCTTGATAAATAAGTAAAAATTATATATATAGTGCATAAATTACCTTAAAAAAATCAATACCAAAATAGTAAATGTCAACAAGATGCATAAAACAGCCAAATTCTATAAGTTTAGTTCCAAATAAAGACATGCCACATTAAGAAATTGTAGAGTCTGAAATAGAACAAAAAGTAAATATAAGTAATCAAAGCTCATCATCCTCATCTAAATCTAAATTCTCTTCATCTTGGACGTCCTCACAATCTTCCTTTTCCAATTCTTCTTCTTCTTCTTCGGTGTCATCATCATCATCACTAACCACAACTTGCACTGATTTTCGAACTCTTGAAGTTGTAAGAGTGGGAGTAGCAGGCGACTTTCCTTTAGATCTTGCATATGTTCTAGTTTGCCTTATGGGTTCTCTAACACCACTGGCCTCGGCTACATCTCCCCATGTGAGGTCGTCATCATCAAAGAMCAACTCATTTTCTTCTTGACCATCTTCTTCTTCGAGTGTTCCGATCAACCATTCATTACTTTCATCAATATGATYCAAAGTAATTGGATCAAGTTGGTCTTGTAGAGTGTAGCGCTCTTTAAGGGCTTGGTTATATTTTATATAAACCAAGTCATTAAGACGCTTTTGCTCTAACCTGTTCCTCTTCTTGAAATGAATCTACAGAATTATTAACGATGTAGAGTCAAAAGTGGATTTTTCAATCTTCAACTAACAAGGGAAAAACCAAATTATTCTCACTTACGTGTTCAAAAACACTCCAATTGCGCTCACAGCCAGAAGCGCTGCACGTTAGACTAAGGACTCTYATGGCTAACTTTCGTAAAATYGGAGCATTAACACCATAAAGAGACCACCATGCAGCTGTGCACATATTAAACAAATGATTTAGAATTTTAGTAGTTCAAACTTAAATATGTCTATTAAAAATTTAAAACTAAAAGTAATAAATAATGTCATTACCTGGTGTTTTAACACCCCTCGTCCTTATCGCTACATTACTCGAAAACATGCCTTTTGCTTCATTGTACAATTCTAATTCGATTGAACATTGAACTTGATCATCAATAGATGGTATTAATCGTTCTATAACTTTGATCAGACCATCCATGACCTCACGATCTTGCATTATTCTCTCTTTGTTGTCATAAAAAAG